CTGTAATCCCTTTTAATAATACAGAATATTTAGACATACGATATTCTATCGCTAATTTATACAATAGTGTATATTTAATTTGTAATTTTGTTTGTAAATAGTTATCTATGTTATTATTAAATTGAAATTATTGTTATTGAACTTAAATTATTTGTATAGAACTGAAAGTATTTTTACCAAACCAAAATTATTTTTACAGATTAAAACTTATTTTTACCGATTCTCAACTATTATTTTTAACAAAATTAAATATATTATAAATGGATCTCATTATAACGAAATTTTTGAAACGATTTTTATGATAGAAATAAAACTGAGTTATAGGATATTTATTAGAAATTATGATTAATTTTGTATATATTAAATATTAGAAGTATGGTGATAATAAAACTCTATACAACATTTTAATCTTAAAAAACCTATTCAAAAATCGCTTATTTTATCATTTGTGTTACAAATATACCTATTTGTCGCCTACGTGACGTAACACTTGGCGAAAAATTGAAATACTAAGTGCCGCTATCTCGTGGCCTGAGAGACCAGCTTTATTAGTAATATTAGATTTACTAAAAGAATTTTAAATTTTTATTAATAGATTTTTTTATAAAAAATAAATAAATAAAATTTCATATGTGGGTAGTCACACCGTGTGATCAGCCAAATATTTTTTTTGAAAGAATGGCCGGGGTTCAGGGGTCGTTACTCAGTCAGTCATGGGTTACTTCTCGGTCAGAAGTTATTCACTCGGTTATGGGTTACTCGTCGATAAGGGGTTACATGGTTAAGGGTTACTCGTGTGTTAGTTGGCTACACGATGTGACCAGCCAAACACAAAAGTTGCTGAAATAAATAAATATAGAATTTTATTGGAGAGAAAGTGTTTTCACAAAATTATGCCAAGTGTCTTACTCGATGATTACTTTAATATACAGTATAGATTATATCTCCGGTATCAACACTACCAAACCTTTCATCTTCTATAAATGTCACCATACAATTAATCATTTAATCATTGCTCACCCATTTGGTTTTGAAGTTTGTTCTTAACATGATTCACAGAAGAAAAACCTCTTTCTCTTTCAATAATGCTTGTTATTGCAATTGGTAAATTTAGTGCAAGTTTCAATAGCAAAAGCACCAATGGATATACATCATGCTTCTCAACCTTTACTAGATTAGTAAAATGTTCACTAATTCCGCTCTAATCACAAAAATCCTTTTTAGAGTGCATATCAATAATGTAATACCCAAGTGGATTATAATTAAGCTGTCACAACATCACTTCTAAAAAATCTCTTGATATAATCGAGCAATTTAAATAATTTTTGCTTATCAAAATTCTGAAATGAATTAGTGTCATTCATCAAATAAGCAACACATAAAAGAATGTCAATTATTGCCTGATTGAGATTTGTGATATTAAGTACCTTACATTTTAACTTCCCCTATCCTCTAGGACAAAGAAATCATCCATATTGGGAACAAAAAAATTTCACGTATTTTACAAAATGAAGATACATCTTTCATTAAATATTCAATTCTCACCATTTACTTCTCACCATTTGTATACATATTCTAGTTTTGTGAAGTGAATCCATATCAATGTTAATATCATCATCTGTAGAGGTAACTTCTAACAATGTACAATAAACAATGTACAATTGAGAGATAATGTCTAACATCTTGTCAATAATTATTAGAAGTTTACCCATTTACTACAATCAAAATTGTTGAAAATAATTAATAAGAATTACTTATCTCGCTTAAATAGATATTGTATTCCTTAATTATAATAAGAACATGATTGATATAAATATCATTGAGAAATAGAGGATACAAATCGCAATAGCAAACTAGAAAATTGTGATGCATGTAGCCTAATTTTCAATGGGGTACAATAATGAATAATGTAATAATTATTATAAAGTTTCAAAATTATTTAAACGGACACTGTAAACCTCAAATAAAAGGATGTAATCATTTCTTCTATCAATGCAATTCTTAAAGAAAAAGGGTTTCACTAATCTGAAAATTTTAACATATGCCTCCTCTTTAATTAATTTTTTTTTTCTCATATTGCAATTTCTTAAGTATACAATACACTCAATGTTTATTTAAAAAAAACAGCCACTTTATATAAAACAAGTACACAACAATACACATACTTACCTTAGCTTCTAAATAGTACAGTGCATCTAGTCACTATATGTTCTAAAACATGCTTGAATCTTAAGATTTGGTGTGTTTCAAACTTTCAATAGATGTACATTGAGCCATTGAATGTGCATTTTTGTATAGTCTAGTTTGGGAATATTATATTATTTACAGTCTCAGAAGTTCTTTTAAATTATTTCCAATTTATAAGAAAAATCATAGTGATATGCATGGGATTTTGTTTAATTCATCTTTTTTAATATATTTAAATATTAAAAATTTTATTACGTTGTATTATATAACTAAAGATATTAATGGTCAAATATGTACATTGATGAACATACCTATCTTACAAAATTTAAATATCAAAAACAAACTGAGGGGATATGGTTTTTTTTTTTTTTTTTTTTTTTTTTTTTTTTTTGACATCAACATAATATACTTGAAATAAAAATTACAAACTATGGAGTAAGTTTGATAAACTACTCAAAGAAGCTTTACTAGCTCCAATGGTACAACTATTACAAATAAAACTATTACTAAACATCATCCTTGCAAGAAATAGTCGGCTTGAAAAACCAAGTGTTTGCCTTCCAACATGCTTCGGGAGATTCCCAATGTTACCATTGTTATCTTTACATCTCATATATCGTTGATCTTAGAGAATGGACGGAAGAACATAGAACACACAATTGTTGGTTGTTAACAATATCACGAGCTCAAGAGAACTCCAGTAGTCCTTAACATTAGGCAACAGGGGATGGGAACAATAGAAGACCTAGGCTTAAAAACACACTCAGAGTCACTTTGAAAAGTGATTCGGTACTCTTAACTGTGGGTACCTTTGCCTTCTTCTCTAAGAAAAAGATCATTAACATACTATAAACCCCCAAATAAACTTAAGGGAGCCCCATGTTGGAGAGCAGGGGTAAGATAAAGGTTTTTCAAAGCAATGAATTGAAAATACATTACTAAGCTGAAATAAAGGTTACCAAGGGATAACCTTTGAAAACTCTCTTGACCGTAGAGATCAAAAGAGCTAACAACATACAAACAACAAGCCAAGACCAATCTTATAAACCTAAACATACCACAATTGGCAATCCCCACAATTACCCATACCCGAGCACCAAGACACTATAAAAGGAGGCTAACACATCCCCCTAGATCCCCTAAAACCATGTTACAACACATGATATAACATAACCAACCCCAAATAGTACAACGACAAGAGCATCGAAGAACATCCAACTTATCAAACTTTCGACAGAAAACACAAGGAGACCACAAACCGTACTAATAAAACACGAAACTAACTCCACCAAACTAAAAAATAAACAAACTTAACACAAAGGAGCTTAACCAAATAAGAAACCTTAACCCTAACCCTAACCTTTACCTTTACCTTTACCAGTGAAGTGATCAACGACTGAGGTTGGGAAAGCTTTAAAAGAGGACCCCCAAGGTGATGGAAACCCACGAACCTCGCTCATTTGCGATGAAGAACACCGGCGAGCCGACTGACTGAAGTGTCGAGTTTGAACACGTCACCACCGAGAAAACCAGGATCCTTCTGGTTGCGAACTCTAGGACTTGGATCTGAAGGTAATCCTCGATTAGAAGAAAGGAAAATCGTCCCCAAAATTGAAACCATAACCCGGACTTTACTTCGTAACCGAAGTGTTTGAGATAGCTTTGGGAGACTAGGCCCTCAACCAGAATTTCACTCTTGAGACCTTTAAGGAAGCTCGCCGGTGACCTTAGATGAGCAGCGTTGCTCTAGCCGCCGGCGATAAGGGAAAACAGAGATAGGAGTTGTTTGTAGAGAGAAGAAGGAGGTTTGATTTTTAGAGAGACACTTTTGTTAGTTCTCTACTTGATTGGGGTCTTAAGGGAAAAAATATATGTGAATTGTTATTTGCCACAATAGAATTACTTGCTATGGTATTAAATGACCTCCATGTTCCTTTTTATTTTGAAAATTACATACTCATCCAACCACCACTAACTTTGACCCACTACACTAACCTTGACCCACTACACTAACCTTGACCCTTCAAGTTACGGCTCCACCTTGACCATCAACTCCGATCCACCACATGTATCGCCACTAACCCTAACCATCTACCATTATATTACGGGTAGCTTGACCACCAACATTGTAGTTTCACGATTGTTGACCACCAAAATTGTACTTTTCGACCACTAAAATGAGTCGACGCTTGTCCGCGTTCATATCGAAGGCACTTGGTGGGGATGAACCTTCAACGTCGTTGAGTCAAGTATATGTCGAACCTTTTTTTTTTTCATTTTCCAATGTACATTGTCGCATATTGACTGTACCATGGTATTGTCGCATGTTACCTCTGCAACTACACCATGGTACAGTTGCATTTTACATGCGACTATACCATGGTACATTGTGGTATAGTCGCATATTATATGTGTTCGTGTACCGTTTAAATTTTTAAATTTTTTTTAATAATAATTAAAAATAACAAAATACATTTAATTAGTAAATTTACGGATTTTTTTTTTATTTTTTTTCACATGAATTTAATTTAATTCTCATTGTTTTTTTTTTTTTTTTTTAGGAAAAAAAAATTAATTTTAATTTCTAATATATCATGTAATAGTTTATAAGTAAAAAAAATAATAAAATAAATAAATTGGAGGGGGCATGGGTGGTGAGAAAATTGGGTGGAACCAAATATTAAATTATTAAGGGTAGAAAGATCATTTAATACCGCAGCATAAGTAATTCCATGGTGACATTTAGTAACCCCACGACTATGGGAGAATGCCAAAAAAAAAATATGGGGGTATGTTGATGACAAATAAGAAAGTAAAGTAAAGCAATTCAATAAAGTATAATTAGAACTTCTTTTAAAAATTAAAAGTTCCTTTATACAATTGCATATCAATAACACGAAGTAATAAAATAAAATAAAATAAAAAAAACATAAAAATGAAACTAGAACATTATTACAATCAGAAAAATTAACCCACAAATCCACAATGAAAAGAAGTCACCACAATGAGACATTGAACACACCCCCAGTCAATCTGACAACTTCCTCACACTCTCACTTCCTTTCATACTTCCCACTTCCTTTTGCTCCCTCCCAAAAATTCACATCCAATAAAAAATCCCCTCTAAGAATAATTAAATTTATTTTATTAATTTTTTTTACTAAAAGAATAATAACAAGAAATACCCAAAAATTAAATTTTAAAAATCACATTTAAAAAAAAAAAAAAAAATCTTCACCCAATAATAATAAGTTAAAAGAGTAATCTAAAATAGTGTTTCGAACCCCATACTTGCTGGACACGTGTCAGTGTACCATCCCCCCACCTTCCAACTTGATCATGGTCCCCCCTCATTAAAAATCAATTTAATTAAAAAAAATTAAAACCCAAAAAATTAAAAATTAGAAAAAAAAAAAAAAAAAAGTTGAGGACTTTGGGAACATGTCATGTGAATACATACAGGTTAGCTAATCCCACCACTAGTCACACTACCATCAATTTTTTAGAATGGCCTGCATTGTGCTTAGCCTAAACCCAGTTCGACTTGACCTATGATCACCTCTACATTGTTGTCGACTAAGTCATAAGTTGCTCTTTATCAGCAAAACCCATGTTGCTAAAATCTGAGGTGGGTGGCGCTGAGGCTGCATTAGCGCTAGAATTGTTATTGTTGTTCATCTTGTTCTTCATGTTTTGTTGTTGATGCTGATATATTTGCCTTAACCTCTCAATTTCCTTCTTCAATGCTTCTTGATGAGCTGGACAAATGATAATAATATCAATATATAATTAATAATTGTGTTATGATTATAATTTGTATGCATTTATATTAGGAGAATTAATTAGGGGCTTGTTTGGATCTGAAAGTAGAATAAAGTTACTCAAAGTACATGTTACGTAGTTATCCCAAAAAAGATATCATGCATTCATTGCTATTTAATTTGCATCATTAATGTAATAATTGTATTAATTAATTTAACCGCTGGACAGACTGAAATTTCTCTGAGCATTATTGTTTAATTGATTTGTGTATGGAATAACACCATATTACATAGAAAAGATTATGTCAAAAAAAAAACATAAAAAAAAAAGATAAAAAAGAATTCCATTTCAACACACAATACATAATAACATAAAAATTAGCAAGCATGTTTTTATTTATTTTTTAAAATATTCATTTTACAAATGGAATTACACATCAATTGTTTGATTTTACTATTTACATTATTATTTTTAGTTAAAGAAATATGAGAAATTTGTATTTTGTTCAAATTAAAATGTTTGATTGCTAGCACATAATAGCTTAGTTTAAATTATAGAATAACCCAAGGAAACTAGAGATTCAATTCATAAGTAGATATTATGTCATAATTACTCTTAACATAATGTATAATTCATTAAGCTATATATAGATTGTATGACTTATAAGAATAATTACTTCTAAAATATACGGAGTAATACATATACTTTTCAATTTTATTAAACTTATACTGTGCAAGCTTTAAATAAAATGCATGATTTTGGTTTTACTTTGATACATTCTTTGAGAGCATGGAAAGGTATTTTGTTATTTATAATTTAGTTAATACGTATTAGTATTAATTAAAAATATAATAATAGCAATTAAGATGGCTAGTACACTAGATGTTCGATCTACAAATTAATGGAAAAACTAGTGGAGAATGACAGCTAATATAATTATGTTAGTAGATTAAAAATATATTGTAAGATTGTACCAACTAAATTCTTACTAACAATGTCTTGTTCTTACATTATTGGTTTAAGATTTGAAGTATATATTATTAGGGATGTCAATGGGGCGGGACGGGGCGGATGTTGGCCTTCCTATCCCCATCCCCACCTAATATTTTCATCCTCATCCCCATCCCCATCCCTGCGGCGGGTCCAATTTTCATCCCCATCCCCGCCCCACCGGGTACAACTCCAAAACCATCCCCGCCTCACCCCCCACTTGGATATCCATCCCCACCAAAGACCCGCCTAATCCCCACCCAAGATCCACCTAATACCCGTATCTCAAATACACAATCTTACATAATTAATACGAATTATAAAATAAAACATTCTATACACATTTTTGTGTTATAATATAAGTGTCGTACAAAGTATTATAATTAATATTGTATTTCATGTAATTATTTTATAAATAGAATAAAAGTATGTAATTTTGCTTTAAAAGATATATAGATGTGGGTATGAGGTGGGGATGAGGCGGGTACGAAGTGGGGCGAGTGGGGCGAGGCGGGGATGGGGCGGGTACAACTTAAAATTCACCCCCGCCCCATCACCCATGGCGGGTATGGTTTTAATCCCCATCCCCGCCCCACCACCCGCCAAACCGAGACCCATCCCCGCCCCATTGGGACGGAAATGGGACGGGTCTCCTACTTGACCCGCCCCACTGACATCCCTATATATTATATATGCTTGGTCTTAGGTCAAGATTCGAACCCGACTTCATAATATACATAATACGGATTATATAATTTTGGTGTAAAGCTTTATACTTGTATATAAATAATTACATAGATCATTATAATTTTATGGGAAATAACTAAGTAAAATTATAACTTATTATAGGCAAAATTTGGCCTTCTTATATAACACAATTATAGGCCATGCTATCTTCAATAAGGTGATTCCTAGTGTGTTGATAGCATGTTCTCAATATTCATTAAAAACCTTTTCTAGGCAATGTTAAGAAACATGAATAATTAATGTTTCAATTTATGGTGATTTCGACCTACAATAATTCACATGCATGTGCAATTAAAAGAAAGAACAAGTTGATTTAAAAATCGTGTTTTTTACACTTTTGTAACACAAGATAAGTTACCCTATTATATGGTGTTACTGTAACGAGAAAAAAAATCTTTTACGAGTTAAGTAACCGAATCACCCTATAATTCAAAATTCACGAAAACTCACAATTCAACATTTTCAGCTGTACGTCTTAACAACTTGATCAAACAAGTAGAGAATTGTTTACAAAATAATTAAGAGAGATCCTAATCTGAGATTAGCAATAATAATACTTAATTAAGAAGATAAAACTTACCATCTTTGAAAATCTTATCTTGAGCCAAAGCAGCAATTCTTTGCTTAAGAGCACTATTGTCCACGTTAAGAATCAATCTTTGGTGGTCCAAAAACGCTACCCTCGGAGACAAGGCTGATACCTCCGTCTTTATAAATATTTACATAAAAATAAAATAAAAATGTAAGTCATAATTCAATTAAATTTCAAACCATAAAAACGCGTAATATATAATTAATTAATTTTATTATAATGTATAATGTAATAACAATAATAATAGTAATTGTTTAATTAATTTTCAGAATTGTAATGAATTTTGTTCATGCACGTAATATTTAATCCGTACAAAAATAAATACCTGTAACGTAGTTACACTCCTTTCTAGCTCCGATATGTATTGTAACTTCCTCACCCTTGACCTTTGAGCCGATTGCCGGTTCGCCAAAATTCTACTTAAATAAATTCAAACAAACAAAAAAATCAATCTTAGTGATCTCAAATTTTAGATCCAATTATCACATTATTCACTTGAATTATGGTGTGTAACAATATTTTCATGAATAATTATAATTATATAATAAAGAACAATTAAGGCCGTGTTCTGTGCAGTTGATTTATATTAAAACAGTGATGTAGACGAGATTTGATCTCAAATATAAATTTATTCACACCCTAGTACTTCATTAAGTGAATCAACTTATTTTTACCGAATTAAAATAAAGGAAATGAGTTACCTCTTGACGCGTTTGGGATCGAGGATATTATCGCCACCGGAATTCTGAGTGCCGTCATCGGAAGGGTGAACGGAGAGTTGGTTGTTGTTATTGTTATTGTTATTATCGGAATTATTGTTATTGCACGCGCTTTCGACCTCGCCAGGCTCGCTCTTAGGGAAGCATTGTAGTAATTGTTGCTGCTGATTTTCACCATCATTATTGTTTACATTATCAGTGGACATAGCTTTGTCTTCGTTGTTAGAATTCTGATCAGAAGGGGAGGAAGGTGGGCCCACCATTCCGGCGGGGATATCGTCGGAGAACATAGACATTAATTGATCGTCATCAAGCCTATCGAAACCACCGCCACCGCTACCTCCGCCGCCGCCGCCGCCGCCGGAATTGCGACACTCGTCGACGAGGTGAGGCCCCTCAAGGAAGGCAATGGAGTCGCTAACCGAACGTCGGTGGGTGACTCGCCTCACGGATGTGAAGTCGAGAAATTCGTCTACCCACGACGTAGGGTTGTTACTAGCATTGCCCCCGGCCGAAGAGGCAGGGGGCGATGATTGTTGTTGTTGTTGCTGCTGCCCACCAAGAGTAACATTGTTGGTTAAAGGGGGCATTCTTTGGTGAGGAGGGAAGGCAGGAGGCCAATTTTGATGTGGTAAGCTAGGAATCTTAGGAGGTAACTGTGCCATTGTGTTTTGTGTACAATTTTAGTTTTTGGTGTATAAAAAAATGTGATGTTGTTGGGTATCAAAGTAAGAATAGAATGTAACTACTAAAACTGAAAAAATATGATGAAATGGACCAACAAAATGCTGGCTGCTAAGAAACCCCTTGCCCTTAAAAACACTAAATAAAAAACTTTATTGTATAATTTTAAATATAAATGTGAAGAGGTGAGAGGAGGATAAGATTAATATTAAAGTGGATCTCTAAAAGACATCATCATAAGCTCTACCCTAAGCTGTCTGTCTTAAGTCTTTTTATTTTCTCTCTCTTCTTCTCTTACTAGTGTGCTAAACTGTAACATGCAAGGAATTTTTATGTTTTTTATTATTAGATATTAAATAAATGACACCACTATGTCTTTGTGTCGGGAAATTGATTAAAATCCCTTTTTTTTTTTACCCATTTTTATCAATCATTTTTGACTTGGAAAAATAATAATTCCTCTGATTTAGAGAACTGTTATTTACATGATAATTGATAAGTAAGGAAAATCAGGCGTTTTAATTTTATCTAATTATTCATGATTATTTAAATTGTAGCATGCATGAAATTTGTTGTACAAAATATTAACTAGAAAATATCTTTATATAATCTTTATTAATTGAATTTATGAAAATTTAATTTTTAATTATACTTATTAAAATAGATAAATAAGCCTTACATTATTATTATTATTATTATTATTATTATTATTATTATTATATGGACAAAAATAACTATTTTTGCATGTCCATATATAAGAATAATTTGTCAAAAGACCTTTTAAACTGGAGTAGTACTAGAAATTTTGAGAGTGTTTTTGTGTGATCCATCAAAAAAACAAAAAAAAAAAAAAAAAAAAACGTACACACACAAAATGTTATAACCAACTATACTATTGTATAAAAAAATTTCTTACTATATTTTATGTATTATAAATCCAAAATTTGTATATCCACAGAAAAATGACAGTAATATCTAAACTAAATTTGTGCATGATATTCTACTATATGTGGAACATGCAATCTTGTTCCATCAGTTTCAATTTAAGTCATTATTATATACTCATCCACTTGAAATAGATTAATTGAATGGAGTTATATCACTTTGATTTGTTCATAAATTGTAAATTAATTTGTTTTCATTCAACTTATTTGAACCAAATAAACCTACTTATATAGACCACCATAATTTGGTTTGACTCATATTTAACTTATTATATTTTACATGTACATAATATGAGTATATACTTGTATATACCCAATTCAATATATAGTAAATTAACTAAGTTTTGGTGTAATTACGGGATTATTTTTAAGGCCCAATTTCGAATACTTAGCGATGAGAATAACTTACTCTTTCTCACTTTTAAGTATGAACAAAGATTGTAAACATGTTACGGAGTACTTGATAACAACATATTAAGAGTTGAGATATAATTAGGGTCATTTGATTAAGACGATAAAATCATAATACAATAAAATCAAGACTACTCAAGAGGATGTAGGTCAAGAGGCATCTAATGAACATTAGCTTAATTTATTTTTTTTAATTAAAATATAAAAAAATAGTTAAAAATAATAATTTTTTTTTTTAAAAAAAAAGGAAGGGGGAGCTAAGAAGGGTGATGGGTCACATGGGGGGAGAGGATAAAGAGACAGCTAGCAACAGGCTGGGAAGAGGTTGGGGGACTCATCACTCAACGGTTTTACTGGAAAGTCATCCAAATACTCGTAGTTTTTAATTAATTTAATTAAAATTAAATAAAACTGTGTGATTTTTAAGTGAGAAAAAAGAAAGAAAGAATCATATAATAGCCCACGAACCACGTGCCCTTGGATGTGACCTCTTCCTAGCACCAACCTTGTTACGAGCAAGTAGCTAGCTAGCTGCGTGCTTCTTTATGATATGATATCAATCACAAAAATTTTATTCCTATGAGTATGTGTGACTCTCCATGCACTTCTTTCAATTCTTTCTTTGTTTACCCTTGGATTCAGTGTTCATCATCATTATTAGTTTTCTTAATCATTGGTTCCTATACTAATATCTATAAGGGAGTAACCATTGGACGATGCGTCTAGTCTTCTTGACTTTCTCATACTCTAATTTTTTTTTCTTTCCTTAAATTTCAAATCAATATAAAATGGTCTGGACAATCCAAATGAGGAGGAGGAGAGTTTAGTCTACAAAGTAGGCTTAGGGCATGTTCATATTTACTGAACTGATTGGAGCTGAACTGAACTAAGCTGGAATGAATATTTTATGAGAGAGGGAAATTAGGAGCTGAACTGAATTGAAATCAACTAAACTGAACTGATTGGAGTTGAATTGAACTGAAATTAAGAATGTAGTGCACAGGCCCTTAGTAGCTTCCATACTAAAATCAATTGGCCACAGTAGGAGTTACTCCTCTACATTAGTGAAAACCATCTCTCGTCTTTCTCCAATGTAGGCTAACAAGTGGATTACAATGAGTTTCAACACTCCCCTTCACTTGTGAGTGTCCTTAGAACCACCAGAAGGTACAATATAAATCCTCTTTGGGAATGAACATCCAATGAATCCCCATAACCAGCCCTTGACAAATACCCAGTTATGAAAGACCCAACAAACCTGAGCTCTGATACCATGTTAAATTTCAAAATAATATGAAATGGGTATGGGCAATCCGAATAAGAAGGAGAAGAACTTGTTCAACTGCTTCTCAATGTTCAACTCCTTCTCTAGAGTCTCTCTGTCGCCATGTTATCTCTGAACTTAGCTCTAAATTGGAAATGAAGGACTTGGGTAACTTGAGCTATTTTTTGGGTATTGCTGTCTCTTGGGCTAAGAATGGCTTATTTTTATCTCAAAAGAAATATGCTCATGAAATTCCGGGAAAAGCAGGCGTGGCTAATTGCAAACCATCCACTACTCCGGTTGATTCCAAAGGGAAGTTAAGCTCTATATGATGATCTTACTTCCTATCGTCGTTTTTGTGGTGTTTTGCAATATTTGACGTTTACTCATCCGGATTTTTTTTATGCGGTACAACTAGTTTTGCCTGTTTATGAACTCCCTTCGTGTCGAACACATGAATGCGTTGAAATGTATTCTTCGATACATCGAAGGTACGACTGATTTTGGTTTGCATTTATATAAGTCATCCGTTTCTTCTTTTCTTTCTTATACGGATGCTGATTGGGCCGGGTGTTTGGACACTCGGAGGTCTACATCAGGACACTGTGTATTTCTTGGTGATAACTTGATTTCTTGGTCCTCCAAACGTTAACCTACTTTATCTAAGTCAAGTGTTGAGGCAGAATACCGAGGGGTTGCCATTGTTGTTTCTGAATCTTGTAGGGTTCGAAATCTGTTGCTTGAGCTTCGAAGTCCTATTTCAAAAGAAACACTCTTGTGTTATTGCGACAATGTTAATGTGATTTATCTTTATAGTAATCCAGTCCAACATCAGCGCACTAAATATATTAAGATGGATATTCACTTTGTCCTTGAGGAAAGTTCAAAGAGGCGAAGTTCGTGTCCTTCATGTGCCTTCCCTATACCAGATTGCAGATATCTTCACTAAAGGTCTGCCTAAGGTTTTATTTGATGATTTTTGGGACAGTCTCAGCGTTTTTCCACCTACCATTTCGACTGCGGAGGTGTGTTGGATTATGTAAATAATCTATCTATGTATTTATTGTTATGTAATTATCCTTGGTAATTATCTTTTGTATAGTTTCCTAGATTAGTTTAACCTAGAATATCCTTGTGTATATATTGGTTAATTGTTAATGAGAAAGGCACGACAAAAATTCTCATATTCTCTCACTTTTTTTTGTTGCTTAGAGAGCCACTAGGGCGAGGTGAAAATCGATCCCAAGATCTCTGAAACTTGAGAGAAAAGCTCTAACCATTTAAGTAATCCTTCACTCTCACTCTCACTCCCTCCGCTTTTTCAAGTGTTACTCTCTTTGTTTTTGAATAATTATCACGGTCAAATATTTACACATGTCATTGCACTACTTTGACCATAGATATATATGATTAACTATATATTAATTTACCTTATATGATTAAGAGCATTGAATATTATGCAACAAGGTCTTCCAATAATGCCATGCTAGCTAATCTTAACTAAGGCATTGCTCTTTTGAACTTCCGGGGAGAGCAGGACATATTATAGCAGATCAGAGTAGGTGTCAACATCAGATCAGAATAGGTGTCAACATATTAGATTAAATTAGCCGAGCAGAATAGATTTCAGCAACGCAAAGCAACTCTAAAGAACAAGGCCTAAGTGTAAAATTGGGTGTGTTCAATTCACCTAATTTTTACTTATCTGAACTTGTTAGACCTTATTAAAACTTATTGGTTTTTTCTATATAGTAACCCTGTTTTTTTTTCACTTTTCTACGTTGTGCCCCAACATATATCACTTTCTACACTGTAATCCCAATATATTTTTTTGTTTACATACGGTAACCTTGCCGTTATAAACTTCCGTTAGCGGGGCCAACTCTACATTATTAATATTTTTTTACCGATTTGCGCGTTGAAAAAATTCTGCCAAAGATTTTGAGGGCTATTTTGGCCCTTAGGGATCCAAATTGAGCTCGTTTTGGCAAAAAAAAAATAACGTAAATGGCTCGTTTTGTGTGTTAAAATGTGAACACGTAAATCGAGATATTTCTTAATAAGCAAAATGAGGCATTTACGTAATTGTTTTGCCAAATCTGAGCTCAATTTGGATCCCAAAGAACCAAAATAGCCCACGAAACCTTTGACAAAATATTTTTCAATGCGCAAATCGATAAAAAAATTACTAATAATGGAGAGTGGGCCCCACTAACGGAGTTTTTTAACGGCTGGATAACAGCAAGGTTACCGTATGGAAACAAAAAATATATTGGGGTTACAGTGTAGAGAGTGATATATGTTGGGGCACAACGTAGACAAGTGAAAAAAAAACAGGGTTACTATATAGAAAAACCCAAACTTATTTTAGTCATAATTTGAACTTGGGTAACCCTTATCAGGACTTATTTTTCTTGAAGTGAACTTTTCAGAATTTAACTGAACGCATTAGACCTTAAATAAGTGAAAATAAGATGAATAGAACAAAGAATGATTTCCTATAGAAAACGAGGCAACATTAGAGTAGTAATAACAACACTGGGTGTTTTTATTTTATTATTATTATTTTTTTTGACAACATGTTGAAGCTTATAGGCTTTGATGATGATGAACTTAAACTAAAGAAAACTCAACTAAAGGTTTGCAAGTGTTTGATTAGTACAGGAGAAGTTGACCTTGGTGGTGGAAGAGTATCTTGCTATATGAAGACTTGAAGAAACCTTAGTTAAAAGTTAATCAATAGAAGAAGAGTTCTCTAACAAGAACTAAAATCCTTAACAGGAATGTTCCCTAACAGGAACTTGAAGGTTGTAAGCTGAAGACAGTA